TGTGATTTAATCAGAATTAGTAATCAAGCTTCGAATTAATATCATCCTTTTGGATAATTTTGAGCCCAAACAGCGTTACAATCTACTTTTAAAACCTTGCTTTCCTGTTTGCTTTACAGAGATTCACCATAACAATGTGGAGATTTGTCACTTTCTTGATTCTGTTGGCTCATACATAGAGAGACACCCACAATGATGACCGTTCACCCAACAAAATCCTGTTGGGTTTCGAGCCACATTCGTCACCTGAAAAGACTAATCAAAAATTTTTTTCTCGATATGATGCAGACTTTTACGACACACTGTACCTCGATATAGATAGCAGAGGCTATCTTATCATCTTCTAGACAGTATCATATATCTATGAAAAAATAGTAAAAAGAATCGATATTTTTAGACTTAATATTATAAACCACGTGAATCCAATATAATTGTTTTCAGGGACATACGATGAACAAACAGGTGTTGAGGATTGGTACCGTCGCTAGAAGTAACATTTTAAATTATAGTTATAAGACGAAAATAACCACACGTATAGTTAATATAAAAGCCCAGGATGTTAATGAAGCACTATTTACATGCAGACTCATCTTTGGTGTGTGTGGGGGGTGAGTTTCAATTCCAGTCGGGTCTTTTATATTCACTTATGCGCTAATATCCTTGGCAAAGTTATGAATATACCCCTTCTCTTCCCCCCAGCTATGTCTTAAATAGTAAAACTTGTATCATTATTATCTCCAAAATATTCTCTTACTTTAAAAATAGTTTGTTAAGCCGTAATCTGCAAAAAGGCTGATGAGCCGTAACATGCAAAAGATTGATAAGCCGTAAAAAAATCAAAGCAATTTTGTTGTCGTTATCCCAACGTTTCGGCCTTTGTGTTCTCCAGACTTCATCAGGTGTATATCGACTCAGGTAACCTACAGGAAATTCCGAATCGAACCCTTTATCTAATCTATGAGGGTAGACAGTTTTCGTTCCATTGTCCATGTCTAGGATTATCTCATTTAGTTCTTATTTTCAGTACTGCTCGCCCTGTTTCGACTGAGTTGAAGTATACACTGCCCAGCCCAGGGATTGACCTCGCAATTACTATGTCACAAATTAAAAAAACAAACATCACCAAGCTATTGTCCCGTGTGTCCAAGGTGATAACCCCTCATCTCACAAATCCAGACAGAAATTACATAGTTTAATATAATTTTCTAAAGAAGTAATGAATGTTTTATTGATGAATCCACCAGATTTTTATCAATTTAAACATTATTTTTTCATACTCTGTTATATAGTAACTGAAGTGTCACTGCCGACGCTTGAATTTGAACATAGATCGCCATTTCTAGCCTAGTCTCTATTACTATACAGATCGCTATTTCTACTCTACTCACTATACTATTTCTCTATACAGATTACTGTTCGGTGGCTACTATTCGAGCGAGTATTATGGAGCAAGTACTATTAGTGCTAGTGATATCCGAAGGCGTCTGATACTAGTATTGTTCAACAGCGTTATCATAGTTGTATCTGCGATTACAAAACCTCTACTAGAACGAGCATTGCAAAAGTGACAACGAGTATTCATTGACATTACAAAAGTGCTAGCGAGTGTTATTTGACATCCCAAAATACTCGTATTTGAGTAGACACTCATTTTTGTTTATTAAACAGTATATTTACTTATTGTCGTCTACTGGCCTGAATATGTGATAAATCTTATAAAAGAAAAATATGCAGTCCCCGACAAGATTCAAACTTGCGTCCTCCTGCGCAGAGGAAAACCATTGTTAGATTTAACCGTCTCAAATATGAGTATCCACTAAAAATATCGTTTAAAGTGATAACACTCTGTCGCATTAATAATAAAAACATTCATTAATTCTTTTGAAAGTTACATTGTTTACGTTTGGATAGGAAACTAAGCAGATATGATCATTTCGAGTAATCTATGACGAGAAGTATTTTCGCTTAGAGCCACTATTCAGAACTTATTTGAAGTTTCTTCCTGGCAAGGTCGGTTAAGGCACTTCGGATCTAAAGAAGTTTTCCATCTGTAGGTTCGAATCCCGCCGAAGAGCGAAAATTTTTATCCAATAAGATTTCTCGAATATTCAAGCCGCTAGATGAAAATAAATAAATATACCGTTTTATAAATAAACGGGGCGTCTAATCAAATATAAGTATCCATTAAAAATAATGTTTAACGTGATAAAAATCTGTCGGCTTCATATGTAAACAAATTGCAGTGTAAATTGCTATTGAAATGACATAAGAATCTGGACAAACCTCTAAGTTATTATTTTATGTATTGGCATGAATGCGCTCTACATATCTGTGTGATTTCTCATCTTGAGCATCGCTGCACGTTTTTGAGTATGTTCACCTGCTTAGGCCCCAAATAGTTCTTCAACATGCACAGGGTCAACTTCCTGATCAGACCTTAATTACAGTTCAATTAACTACACTACTAGGGTCACATCAGTTTATCCTCTATGACGTGAGCGATCATTGCCCTCCACAATTTGTTGTCCTTTGTAGGTTTTAGTAAGTTATGTTTTCTGTAATCTCTTCTAATCTCTGTTCTGCCAACCATTTACAAAAGCCCATGCTTACCGAAATTCTCAGAATGATTCGCAGGATGGTCATTCGCTTCTTCCCTCTGCTCCTTTGTTTCCAATATGTCTTGTGCGTGCCAAATTCTCTAAGCCCACTTTCTTCATTCTGCACCCTAGATATTTCAACTATCTCTTTCTGATTCTAAGTGTAAGTTTTCTTTTTTGTTTCTAGTTTTTCTAATACCCAGTCTCATGTTGAGTCATTGGTATTCTCAATATCTTTCTGTAGAAGTTTATTACTATTTCTCCTTCTTCCATGACTCTCATCTTTGAGGAGATTGGACCGATATTACATAAGAATCCAGTACTCCTATCTCTGTTTCTGACTAAATTTTCCTGTTACTTAATATTTTGCTTACCTTTTGAAAGACGTCTTTCGTTATGTTGATTCGCCTTCTGATTTCGATGTCTCATTTACGGTTTTGAATTTCGAATTGTACTTCTCCTACCCTGTTTACCAGACACGGCTAGACAATCGAATCTGCTCCGCTAATTAATCCAAAACTGGGTAGGAGAAGTGATGGGTCCATAGCCTTCCTAAGGGTATTTGTGAGAGAATGACCGTAGCGACCTCGATAAGAGTTCTCCTTTTAAGCTTCTAACACCCACCCCGTCTTCCCGTTCATATAAGTGGTATAATATAAATTAATTAGTATTTTTCTTACCAAAAAGTAAGGTATATTGCCTTCGTTTCATTTATTTGTTCTAAATTTTCTTTTTGGAAATTCGGACATTGTTCCAATAGCTTCAGGATTATAACAACGCTATCAATTCGGAGATGTCGTCATGGAGATTGATCCATAAGGTGAGTGTATACTTGATAAAAAATTCATGTTTACGTAATCTCTGTAAACTGATAGAGAGTCATGAAATTTTGAAGTTCAAAGTTTAGTCGTACTGGGCTTACAGACGTTGTGAAATCCGAATTTTATTAGAGATGGGATTTGAAAAGTAGATGTCTATGTCGTAAGTAGAAAATTCAAAATTCAGTAGGGTTGGCTTTGAAATATAGCCGCATAAGTCCCAAGTGTCGCAATTCAAAATGTTGTTGCGCTGGTATATCGAATGTAGCCGCCAAATTGCTAAGCAGAATAAATAAAAACTGAGTTGTGTTGGGCATTTATCAATGTGCCCTAAACTCTCAAGTAACCAAGTTCAAATTACTGTAGCACCAGATACCGAGATTCAACCCTGATCTGGATCATTTCATTCTATTTTTTTATATCAAAACTATGTGCAGATTTTTATACCGACCCTCTGCATCCATAAGGATGAAGAGGGTCGGTATAAAAATAATATATAATAAAAATGACTAATTTGTACATTTCTCTATGATTCAGTCATTCATCAGCCACAGCACGCATTTTGTGGCAACGAAATTATTTAGAGGGAATTATTTAGAGGAAATTATTTAGAGGAATATATTTAGTGTTCAGATATCATTTACAGATAAGATGCAAAAAGAGTGGAAAATAACACATTATTAAGAAAAGCATCTCTTGTTCTTAACCGAAAGTTTCTGCAGTATTCCTTGATACGTAAGGAACCTCGCCGTAATATAACGAATATTACGCAAGTCAAGTCGACCGTTACAACTGTAACGAGTTTCGTTGCTTGCACATTATACAGTCTAATACATCTCTAAGATTTAATGAGTACGGAAATATACAATTTTTTATGTCAAAATGTTTCGTTTTTCGTAACAGCAAGATTATTTTTAAATCCACCGTTTTAACAAATTAATCGTTTATCCATACCGTCAAAAAATGGCGACACTATTTTTTTATGTAAAAAAAGGCAAAAATATGGCGAATTCAATTGGAAAATTATTTAAATATTGTCGGCATTTTTTGACGGTATGGATAAACGAGGAATCACTATTCTTAATTTACACTAGCTAACTCTTTTATCGCATGTTAAAAAAGTTCTATTTTATAGACTATTTAAGAATATCTAAAGAATGTTCCATGAAACAAAATAAACGAAGTATTGTATTAACAACCGTATCTCACTTATTTAATTATCAGATATTCAGTTGTTATCTGTTAACACAAACATGTTTTCGTATGAAAAGATTATTATGGTATGTTAGTATGACAATGGACTATGTCATTTTAAAAATATGTGTCATGAATGTTTTATATTAAAAAATATTGGCGCCTTATCGTGTAGTAATGAAACACAAGTGGTTGCGGTAAATTATTAGTGATTTCGAGTCTCACTATATACAAAGGTTGCTTTGATAATTATGTAATGCTTGTTTCATTAATACTAAAGTGTAGTATAAATAGTTTCAGCCGAGGAAGAAGGATCATAGTTAGTTTACGGGGTTGTCTCGCCTTTAGATAGATAGATAGATAGATAGATAATGACGAGATTGAGACAGGATTAGACAGGATTAGACAGGATTAGATAGATAGATAGATAGATAGATAGAGAGATAGATAGATAGATAGATAATGAGGAGATTGAGACAGGATTAGATAGATAGATAGATAGATAATGAGGAGATTGAGACAGGATTAGATAGATAGATAGATAGATAGATAGATAGATAGATAGATAGATAGATAGATAACGAACTGATAATGTTAGATAGATAGGTACATAGATAATGAAATGACACTGAATGATAGATATATAATGAACAGACATAGATAGATAGAAATGAACAGACTGAATTAGATTAGATAGATAACAAACAAAAAATTATATATATATATATATATATATATATAAATAGATAGATAATAAACAGGCAATGATAGATAGATAGATAGATAGATGTGAAAAGTAATGTTATGTTGCTTCCTCTTCGAGTAAACACGTGGAGTTTACAGTAGTTCCTCTTAATTAAGCTACTTAAGTCATTATCAATCGATCAGTCATTTTGGTTTTGTTTCTGAAGTTTTTAACATTTAAGTTTTAATATATATTTTTTGTTTTGTATAATTTTTTTTAGAGTTCAGCAATTTACGTTCGGGGTTAACAGGTTCTTAAGATTTATTTTTATTTTTCGAAATACCTTTCGAGTATTTTTCACAGGTAGGTTTGTCAGTATTTTTCTTCTTTGAACCTTGCTTTTGTTATTCCTTATATATGTTAGTGCAATCTACCAGTTTAATTTAATTTCTCTTGGTTTTCCATCTATTGTTCAATAATTTAACCATTAAAAGAAACATGAAAGTCCACTTTCCTTCCTGTTTATTCTATCCCCATCTCTATTAAAGTTCCACACTTATTTCATCATTTTTTTAGTCGTAGTCGACTAAAACCACCGCGCCTGCGCACTAAAACAATTTCTAACCAATATTCCCTCCCTGTTGCATATTGCAGAAGACAAAAGATTATTTGTCTTTCAAGAACAAGAATCAAGCAGACGCAGATATTGATTCTGTCAACAATGACGTGTTCGTAGTGTATTTCACATCGCTCCAGTAACTTTGTGGAAATTATTGCATGCATTATACCTACAGAAGATTCCAGATATCTTTTTTCCGAAAATATCTTATATCCTTTATATTTTTTTACCTTATACCTTATTATTTATTTATTTTTTAAAAACTTTACCTATGTTTTCCTTTAGTCTTCATATTTTTGTCCTTTCCATTTGTAAAATTGGAGAAAACACTTTAAAATTACAGCAGCAAAGTTAAAAAAAAAATATTTAAATATTCTTTGTTTTGCGACATTTGTTATTTCCTGGAGCCCTTATGTAGGTTTATATTTTTATTTTTAACCCAAAAAGTATGAACATATGTCACCTGCATGAAATCCCCATTAATAGAAATAAATATTCATTGATGGCGACCTGATGTTAAATACGCATGCGCGGTGGTTTGCTGGCTGTGTCATTCGCAAGAGTTTGAAATTTCAAGAACTGTTTTGTAACCTGAGACATTTTGTTTTCGTGCTGAAATATTTTGTTTTTTAAATGTCATGTCTCTTCATGAAGTAAGAGATCATGATTCTGCTCTCGACATATTTCCTTTTCTTTATTATCTGTGAATTACCATTTTCTTGGGAAAAAATAGTTGGGCAATTCTTCGTTGCCCTCTTCAGAGTTTTGAATTCAGAATAATCTTTCTCTTAGACTGGTTGACATCCAAGGCTTGAGAACCCAATCTACCATGATGGATTCATACGTTTCCCAACTGTGAAAATCAACGTAGCAGACTAGTTCAGAAATTAAACTTGGCTCGCCAATTCAAATTTCCACACCACGAACCGCTACACTGCTGGCAAATTCTATGGTAAAGGAATGATAATATCAGCCGTTTGCTTATAAGGAAACAATCAGGATTCTTTTATTAAAAAAAGCCTGTATTACTCCAGTTATGCTTCTTTTAATGCTTCTGGCAATTGGGATGGGATGAAAGTATAGTGTCTGTTCAACTAATCTCTAATGGTAATTGTAATATTAGCCGTTTCCTAATAAGGAAACATTCAGCATTGACGGGAAGCGAGTCATTCGGTTGAAATTTATAAAATCCTTCTCTTGAAAAAAATTTTCTGGAAAATAATTTTATCAAATTCACTAAGTATTAGCGGTCTTGCAAGTATTGGTCGTGGCTTCCTTTTTAAACTTTTGTTTTCACAGAATAGTAATTACTAAAAAATATTTAGAACTGTGCCTAAAGCAAGGGTTGTAGTATTGATAAATAACATTCTTAAAAAAATGTTCAAGAAAAATAAAGAATAAGTCTACAGAATTTGATTTGATCTTTTATAACATGGCTTCTCAGTCTGAAAAGACCGGTTGACAGAGAGAGAGAGAGAGAGAGAGAGAGAGAGAGGACGCTAAAAGGGATGTGTACACGAATATAGCCTAATGCTTATTCTTCGTTTCTGTTATATACCGTACCTATGAACACTAAGGGGTATATCCCAATACTCATAAATACATTGGACAATATTGTAAGTGGGGGTAATATGCTTTCTAAGTTGTCCACCACTAGCTGTAGTATACCTACTTCACGCCGCTGGTGAGTATTATATTTTGCTGATGTTAGAAAGATTACCATTTCATTTCTGACCTCCATTTTGATTATTCCTCATTCAGTAACCCTTTCTAGGTTACGACAGTTTCACATCTGAAATTTAGATGGAAAGACATTCGTACATAATAATGAAACTTACCACTTCCAGTTTCTATTGCTCATCTTCAGCTTCTTTATTTGGGCAGTGACTTTTCTTTGAAAACATGTTTCGTTGAATATGACCGACAAAGAAAATTTGATTAATTCTTTATTGTTTTTTTTTTTTTTTTTTTTTTTTTTTAGTATTCTCAAATTTTTGCATTTGGTGGGATAAAGGAGTGTAGAAATTTCCGTAATGTCTACTGTCCCAAGCGTTTTCAGACAGTTCTTTAGCCATTTTCCAGGGAAATTTCTTTTCACGGTTGTCTTTTAAGATGTAGTTGTGTGCATTGAATGGTAGTAGCGTTTTAGTCCTAGCCCTGCGAAAAGAACGTGGCTGGAATTCGAATTGGTGTCCTTCTATTTTAATAATAATAAAAAAAAATCTTTAGCACATTATTTCCGTTGTTAAACAAAGTGAGATTAATACTGGGTGCCAGATGTTTTATGTAGAGACCTTCTCTCACAGCAAATTGTTTTTTGTTACGAGATTTATGAAGGATGATCGTGTTATCAACCAAAATATATATCTGTTTATATTTCTGAGATGATATATTATGTACGCTATTTACATTATTCGGACTATTATCCTCATTTTTGTTGCCATATTTATCACACATGGTACAGTCGATAAAGGCGTTGGTTAGATCCAGCGACAGGACCCAAAGAGTTGTGAGTTCAATACCTGCTTAAGGGTGTGGAGAATTTGGAGAGGGGAATTAACAGGAGATAACTGATAACTGACATCCATTAGAGATGACACGTGGAACTAGAACAGCCTACCCCAGCGAGCGAAATAAACGGTCCAGTTCGACATTCCAACCACGTGAAGAAGGCCGGAGCGTACATCGGCCGAAACGTTGTGATAAATATGACAACAAAGATGAGGACAATATTGGCAACACTGACCTGCGCAATCACTGAAATTTTTCGTATTGATCTGCGCAATGTAAACAAACTGGCGCGATTGCGCATGTCAGTGTTGCTAACATTGTGTGAAAATTTTGTGTGAATTGATTGGACGGTTTTTGAAATATTAGAAAAAAAGTTATCTCGATAATAATTTGGCACGCAGTGTATATATATATATATATATATATATATATATATATATATATATATATATATATTGATGAATAGATTTTCCTGTCAAGGACGACAGATGAGGGTTCAGTAATTCTATTTTGTCAGAGCAACCTACAAGAGTGAAGTATATAAAGTGGTCACTTTCCTGTTCCCTGCACTGCACACTTTATCCATTATAGCATCATGTCATTTACTGGTGCACTATCTCCCACATGTCAGATGATGCTAGACTCAACATTTTTTTTTAAATATGGGTTTTTCATCTCTTACCTGCATATTGTTTCCAATTCAGAGTTCTCTATTTAGACGGATTTTCAACCAAGGCTGTCGGGCTCAGACTGTCCTGTTATTTACCAATAGCTAAATAGAAAAGAAATACAATCATGTCTTTCCCAAAGGCACAAGTGTATCTAATGAACTCGACTGGAATTCGGCTCTCCGATTTATTGTTACGAGGTGTTATCCATTATAATGCTCACAAAATCAAGCTTACATTGCTTGGTATAACCAAGCCGTCACCCATCTAAGTTGAGACCAATGTCGACGTTGCTTAACTTCGATGATCGATGACATCCCGTGTTTCAACGTGATATGGCCGTAAGCTATTAAAATAAAGAGAAAGAACAGTAAGAATTATAATCCGATGTTCTTATTAATTATTTTTATTATTAGAAAACAGTACAATTCTGCAGGTCATAAATATTATATTATTATATATATGTATATGTATATGTTTGTTCGTGTGTGTGTGTGCGATTCTGTAGCACCAATCCACAAGGTTTTATGAAAGCTGGTACTCGTTAAGGACTACAGGTGTATTTGCTATTGTGATATGATTTTATGGATTTATAATGAAAATATATATTTATGATGAAATGATTATAACGGAAAAATACCTCAAGATTGACTACCAATAATTGTCTATAAAGAAAGTATTAATTTTGAAACTCGACAAATGAGAGTTGAGATATAAAAATATTGTAAGATTTTATTTTAGAGCTGTTGTAGAAGTCGGGGCTAGTTTTCAGTAACTTCGGTTCTGCCATAAATGGAATTTGAATTCGACTGACTCCATCTTTTCCTCTCCGACTCCAATGAGTCCAACCCTGTTTCCACGCTTCCAAACTTCTCCAATTCTAACACCATTCCTCCAATCATCTCCATGACGACATATCTGAATTGATAGCATTGTTACAATCCTGAAGCTATTGGCAAAAAGTCATAATTTCCAAGAAGAAAATTAGAACAAATAAAAAAAGGAAAGCAATAGACACTATGTTCTGAACAGCAAGAAACAACGAAGAAATTGAAGAATGTAAAAGCCCACTTGATTTCTTGTACTGCCAAGTTGAGAAATCTGTCATCTAGACGAATAATATGATTTTATGAGTAATTATTGGAGGGCTATTAAGCAGAGTGAATGACAGATAATAGAATACCTTAGAAGAAAATAGATTTGGGAAACGGGGATCTGCAACAGAGAATTTTCAAAGGTATAAATATATGGGCAGATAATACTCCGGATCCTTCCTAAACTTGGCAAAAGAATAAATATCCATTTTGAATCACAGAACACTGGTTTGATTGATTTTATTTAGCGGCATATCAACCACTATCGGTTATCTAATGGCGAAATCTAAATAATTGAACACAAATTTATGGCTTCAAATATATATATATATATATTTTGAACTACAGATAAAATGTATCGTAGGCCATTTTTCTATAAACTTTATAGTTGGTCATTTTAATGGATATAGTTGGTAATTTTTTTATAAAAATGTATTGGTGATATTTTTACTATAAAAATGTATTATTGTACTGAGTGTAACAGGAAAATTGTCCACATCGTGTAAAAGTGTGGGATAATTTTCCATCTAACAAAATGGTTAATATCTGCAAAACACTAAACCTTATTAAATTTCTTTTTTCCGAGTTTTCAGATAAAAAGTTTAACCTTCTTGACACCATTTGTTGTAAGAATCACTAAAAAAACCCTTTGAGTTATACAGCTAGAAAGAGAACAGATTAAAATCAGTTTATGTCAGCCTCATTATGTTGTTGCGACTAAGCAATGGCGAGACAAAAAAGATAATTCAGGTCTTCACTATTCATACTCTGGTTTACATCATCAAAGTCCATTCAAGAACAATCAAATAAGTTTATAAAAAGAGAAAACAGTGGAGAGGAAAACCGGATCAGGATGACTCAACAGGAAGAGGGATCATCCTTTCAACTTAGATTTAAATACATTGTTATTGTTCAAAGTAGAGTCTAATAGTGCTATAACAACCTCGGAGAATTCCAGTAAGATGTCTTTAATCATTTCTAAGATACAACGGTTCAAACTTGGACAATTTAACTGTTACACGATTTGGACAATTTCGCTATTACACCCAGTACATTCGTTGTGTTTTGTTTTTGTTTGGGGGATTCACTATTGGCTCAGAGCTGGGACACTAGCATGTTCTACAACCCCAGATCTGGTGCACCTTAGAGCAATAACAATTAAGAGGTTATTTCACGCTCCTCAAATTTTCCAATTTCTTGATCAGAGGCCTTGCTGCTGGATGTAGTTTATCGTCATACTCAAGATTAACACTGAAAATGATGATTATACCTAAGAAATTACAGCCTAGATATGACGTCTAGAATTAAAAACATACTGTCAAAGATGACTCGACAGCAATGAGGAGGGTGTCGATTCAAAGAACTGGAAAAATCCATTAGGCAGACTAATGAATGATGGAGTGTGAAACAAGAAATTTTGCGGCCAAAGTGGTAACAGGACAAATATAAGAGAAATAGAAAAAATGCTGATGAACATCTGCACTTCAAGTGATATCGGAAAATTAAAAATGTGCATGTTTGAGGATTAACGTAAGATCGGTTCCGTACTAAGATATTGACACGAGGCGAATTTTCAACATTAGGTGCCAAGACAAGATCAGCTACAATGAATTGTGGCAAAGAACCAATCAACATCCGGTCACCAAAGAGGAATTGTGGCGAAGAACGAATCAAGATCCGGTCACCAATGAAGAACTGTTGCGGAGAAACAATCAAGATCGGGTCACCAATGAGGAACTCTGGCGAAGAATCAATCAACATCCGGTCAACAATGAGGAACTGTGGCGAAGAACCTATCAACATCCGGTCACCAAAGAGGAATTGTGGCGAAGAACGAATCAAGATCCGGTCACCAAAGAAGAACTGTTGCGGAGAACCAATCAACATCCGGTCACTTATGAAGAACTGTGGCGAATAACCGATCAACATCCGGTCACTTATGAGTAACTGTGGCGAAGATCCAATCAAATCCCGGTCACCATGAGGGACTGTGGTGAAATAGCGATCAAGATCCGGTCACCAACGAGGAACTCTGATGAAGAACTGATCAAGATCCGGTCGCCAATAAGGAATTGTGGTGAAGAACCGATCAAAACACACGAATTTTGACAATTGTCTTGGTGATGTTTCCTCCTTGAATATAATTGTACTACGAGTTTGGAAACTAAGTCTCCCCATTTTACTGTTGAACCGGCAAGCCGTATGTTCTATTCTAGTATCTTTTATTTGGATGCGTTTTTGTATGGTTTTTGCATGTGAAACTCTCTTCACGTTTCTTGATTCCCTGTCACCTAAAATCTTCAAAATTTTAAATATAACACCAATTGCCAACTTCTGATTTCCTGAAACATGTTCTTTTATTTTTTCTCCTCACTAAAACCTTCTCATTATCTTCCACTTCCAATAAACCGTTTGAGGAGAAAGCATTAAAAAAAGCATTACTATGTCAGTTCTGTCTAGTTAATTTATCCTTTGAATGTCAATTTCAGTAAAGAAAAATATAATATTTTTTCACCAATGAATACAGGATTTGATTTTAGAACTTCCTTGTAGCTCCACCGTTTAATCAACGCCTTATTAAAGCGGCCATTAGAGGACATACGAAGAAACAAGAAACCAAGTAACAATACTATGCCCAAGATCAACTCAAGGTAGAATTTAACAGAATAGCTTTGTTTTATGGACGCAAGAATTGCCGATTATAAGAATTACCAGCGCCTTGCTGCGTGTCATACATTTTTTGTAAGAAAATGATTATTGATTTTAAATCATTGTTATAATTTGTGGAGAAAAGTGATGCATTTCAGTATTACTTAATGATCTTGCCGATGTGACCTCCATCTTCTGGCTTTCTCCTTCTACGTTTTAGATAGGAGTCATTCACTTGTTCAAATTTAAATCTAATTTAAATCAAAGGGAAAAGAATTCAGTGAGGGGAGATGCTTCTGGACCCCAGAGACCTCCTTTGATCAAATGAAATATACTTATCCAAGTCCCTTAGGAGCCAATCCATTGTTCAAATTTAAATTTAATTTATGCCAAATAGAAGAAAAATCACTGGTAGTGTTTGTGAAAGCCGTGGACCCCTTTGATCAAAATTAAATATACTTGATATATACCTGGGTAATGTAGTTTTGGAATATGTTTGGTTATGGGTGTCTCCATAAGCCTAGGAGTTCGATAACAGGCAAACAGACAGACAAAGACTATAACTTTATATATAGAGATATAGGTTAAGTACCGGTTGACTGGACACTTGAGGAGGTTAGTTTTCAGGGAAGCGTCCTCTTGGGAGTCTATTACTCGAATAAGAGGCACTAGGGAAGAAGCTGCGCGAATTGAGCTTCCTTGTAACTATGGAATACAAAGGGAATGAGGAGGATTCTCCCTTATTGTTGAAACTTGAATAAAGCATGGAATAATAATAATACAACACAAAATGTACGTAAACAAAATGTATTGACACAAGAACGTGTACACAATATTTACAGATAGTTTGGTATATTCTTGGGAAGACCGTTCCTGTAGAATGGGTTGACTTAGTCGCAGTCGGGCAGAGTCTCTGGATTGGATCTCTTCTTCCTCCCCTGTCTTCCCGGTACCAACCCATATTTATATGGTCGGTACTCCACTATGTAAATTAGGTGGATCGTACCACAACACTTATATATATGTCATGGCAGATCTTAGATGTAAAAGTCGCGAATTGGTAGAACGAGAGGATGGAGGTCGTCAAAACATTTTCTATGCAAATAGATAGGCCCGCGATATTGTGCCTCTTTGAAATGGGCTCTAGAGGGTGAGTATTAAATCAGTCTATAATAATAATTGCATTTACTGTGCCAATTCATGTTTTTGGCTCTAGGCCCAAAAAAGGTAGAGTCGCAATGTCTCTACAGTATGTGACACTACTCTGGTTCCTGTAGCAAGTATTTATTTCGGTATGGAGCTGCTAACTTCATGTCCAACGAAGATAGAATTCCAAACAGTATTGAATTCCTTCACCCAGATGGGTTGCTTTCCAAAGCTCGAGACCCCGTGTCTAAACATTCGCTAGAAGCCCAAAAAGAAATAGCTGTCTACCGTTCCAAACGTATTTGTGTGAAAGTCAACGCAACGTCTTTGGCTGAAATTTGACATTGATTTGCCAATCCTACTGCTTGTGCACATCTGCAATAATGACAATACATCTTGTATGTCCCGTTAGGACATGACGATCATGGTCCCCCACAACTTCATATCCTTTGTAACTCTTATATAACGTTTCTCTTTTCAAGGGCCTGTCCTGGCATCCGTTTACACAAGCTCGTTAGACACTTTGTTTGTCACTTTCCTCTCACCATTTTTCTTTCAATATGTCGGGGAGTGTTATATTCTTCAAGTCCTCTTTATTCATATGTCCTTTTCATATTTTCTGATTCTAAGTATAAGCGCCATTTTTGCTTCCATTATTGTTAAAACTTACTCGTTACTCACATGCTAAGTCCATGGTATTCTTATCATCCTTCTGTAGTACCACATTTCTGTTGCCTCCAGTCTCTTCTTCGTCTGTGAAGAGATTGTCCAGCATTCAATGTCATACAAAAGTCAGATATTACATAACAGTCCAGCACGCATTTCTTTGTTTCTAACGTTTTTTCTTTTGTTTCTTAATAATTTATTTCTAAACCGCATTCGGATTTCGGTGTCACATTTTACGTCTTCTGTGAAAACAACTCCCAAATATTTAAATTTTCTTTTCTCTTGCTGGCAACTATACATTGTGTCTTTTTACAACTGATGCTTATTCCTTTCTTCTCACTTCTCAGGATCTATAAGGTTGAATAAGTCTGGCGAGAAGACGCATCCTTGTCTTACGACCTTCTCTACATTTTTTTTTTTTTTTTTACATTTCATATTATTCATTTTCTATCCGTAACCAAATTTACAAGTGTAGAATTTACATTATTTACATTGTTCGGACTGTTGTCCTCATCTTTATTTTCATATTCACGATGTTTCGGCCGTTGTACGCTCCGGCCTTCTTCAGGTGATTAAACTTTCGAACTGAACTCTTTTTTTCGTCCACCGGAGTAGATTGTTCTAGTTCCACGTATCATGCGACTTCTGGATGTTTCAGTTATCTCCCGTTAACTCAACCCTCCAAATTTTTGTTCACCACTGCAGTAACCAGGTATGGAACTTACAACTCTTTCGGTCAAGCAACACTTTTATCCATTGGGCCAGATGTCCTTGAAGAGTGTACAATGGCCGAAACGTCGTGAATATGACAATAAAAATAAGGATAGCAGTCCGAACAATGTAAACAAAATAAATAATTACAATACCTAATCTCAGAAATATAGACAGATACAAGAGTAATAATTCTAACTTCTGAGCCTATGATTCTTTATATTGTTTTCAAAGGCCTGTCCTGACATGCGTTTACACAAGCTCGTTAGACAGTTTGTTTGTCACTTTCCTCTCACCATTTTTCTTTCAATATGTCGGGGAGTGTTATATTCTTCAAGTCCTCTTTACTCATATGTCCTTTTCATATTTTCTGATTCTAAGCGCTCTTTTTGCTTCCATTCAGTCTCTTCGTTTGTAACACAAACTTTGGCCAATTTATTCTTAAGCCTTCTACATGTGTATAATGCGTTACAAACATGGCGCCCAACAGAAACGTAAAGGCGGCAAAGAGTTAATAAATATAAATTGTTGACTTGGTGGGATTTTAAATGTAGAAAGTTTTATTACCTGCTGAATTTATTTTTTAATATCGTCAAAATGTAAATTTAAAGAAAAAATTCTCTTCCTTTTTCTGTTTTGATTTTTTTACGTGCATTAAGTTCGGCTGATTTTTTTTGTGGTTATAGTTTCGGAGTAACGTTGTCTGGCTCAAAATTTATTCATGTGTTTCAAAGACATAATTTTTTTTTATATCGATGATTTATTGGTTGGCTTGAGTCAACATCACAGAAACCTTATTAGCGAATCACCTTTTTTTGCTCGAAAGAAGACCACGTGTGAATCGGTGCTTAAGTCCAGTAAAGAGCTGTTTAAAACACTTTTAAAGGTATATTTTGAGTACATCTCATGTAGAGTACGTGCTTTATCGCCATGCTCGGGGTGAAATGTTTTAAAGCTAATTGATCTCTCAAGTTTCCTTACGTATATATGTCGGAAAAAACAGGCTAAATTTATTTGAGTGAATGTTTTTTGTTTTTCGTACGTTATAATATCCATCATTTCAGACATTAAAATGATTCAAGAATAATTGGTTGAGAACTATCTCGAAAAGGAAAATAAATTTATCACTTTGGTCCTCAATCAAACACATATTAACGAGATATTGCTATCTATCTATCTATCTATCTATCTATCTATCTATCTATCTATCTATCTATCTATCTATCTATCTATGTCAGTTTCTTTCCTTCTTTCTTTCTTTCTTTCTTTCTTTCTTTCTATCTATCTATCTATCTATCTATCTATCTATTTCAGTCTCTTCGTTCGTTCGTTACTTTCTCTCTCTCTATGTCAGTTTCTTTCTTTCATTTTTTCTTTCTTTCTTTGTTTTCGTTTCTATCTATCTCAGTTTCTTTCTTTCTTTCTTTCATTCATTCTTTCTTTTTTTCTTTATCTTCATTTCTATCTATCTATCTATCTATCTATCTATCTATCTATCTCAGGTCCTTTCTTTTATCTATCTATCTATCTATCTATCTATCTATCTATCTATCTATCTATCTATCTATCTCAGTTTCTTTCTTTCTTTATCTTCATTTCTATCTATCTATCTATCTATCTATCTATCTATCTCAGGTTCTTTCTTTATCTATCTATCTATCTATCTATCTATCTATCTATCTATCTATCTCAGTCTCTTCGTTCGTTCGTTGCTTTCTCTCTCTCTCTCTCTCTCTTTATCTATCAGTTTCTTTCTTTCTTTTTTTCATTATTTCTTTCTTTGTCTTCGTTTCTATGTATCTATCAGTCTCTTCGCTCGTTCGTTCGTTCGTTCGTTCCCTCCGTCCCTCCCTCTCCATCTCTCTCTATCTGCAATGAAAAAAGAGAGTGTAATCGGAGAGGAATAAAGTTTCATAAAGGTTTCTCACTTAATTAAAAAGAAAGGCTTAATAAGATCTACGTGACACCAAAATTGGCTTTCGTCCAAAATTTAATAATAGCTTTTTTGCTAGGAAATAAATAAATAAATAAATAAGTAAATAAAATAATCTGAACTTCTATGCGATAGACTCCCAATCCCTCTCTGGTATTATTCGACACCTAGACTTATTTTTCTATCTAAAACGAATCCCCCTTTACCCGTAACGTCGTTGCGCACTCTCCTCCCCGTTGAAAACTCATCTTGTCAGTGTCATCAGGCGATCGTTTCCATAAATAGGATTATTACCAGAAAACTCTTTGTCAAGTTAATTAAATTGCCCGTTTCTGACGTTTACATCATAGTTTTTTACTTTCTTGTTTTCTTTTTATCAGACACGAAGCAGCAAGCAATAAGTAATATAGACTTTCGGGCGACAAGTCGTAACAGTGAAAAAAAAACTGATAGGTTGGTGGGTCATCTATTTGGGCGTCCTAATATCAGCACTGGAGACACATATCATTTGGGCTCAGACGATTTAACATGTTGTATCAGCAGTCGGCAAGCACAGAAAATATTGTATAAAAGTTTCAAGAGACATGACAAAATTATGAAGCAATAGATAATACTATTATAGTTATTGGGGAGATTTTTATAATATTGGATTTATAAGTCTGAAGTAATTGTATTCGCATCCTCAAGGCATGTGTTTGATAACAGCAATTAGTAAAATTCGGACGAGAAAGAAATTCATCTTATTTTTGCAATTTACTATACGTAGCTCAGTTTCAGTAAAATAAAACAAGGTATCCAGTGAGGATTAGACCTGCTATTTTATAGCTGTGGCTTGCGAGATTAACTTGTTAACCATTACATTACATTGAGGCGCTGATTTCTTTCGATTTCCCATTTTGTCGAATTTTTAATGTCGAAAATATAATGTTTTCAGGCGTACGACATTACGCCATAGAATACCAGGAGTCTTAATCGAATTGTAATGTTTGACTGGAATCTATGATCTAAGAAGAGTTGATCTGTGGTGACACTAATATGTAGTGTGCTAATCCTATGAGATATCAAAGCAAGCTTTTTACTTGCTATCACCTCAGAATGTCGAACGACCTACATGCCTCGACTGAGTTAACCCTCGAATCACCAAGTGCAGAATCGGGCGTCAAACGATGTTAATGAGTGCACAAACATAATAAGAAAGTGAACAAAGCTTGAATTAAGTACACACACACACGTCAGGATGAAGACAGGAAGTCATATAAACGTGGGAATCATGGCGGCAGTCTAAGAAGATAAGAACAGAAATCACATGCCATTCGATTAGGCTGACGTTAATTTGATAACCAATTTAGTCCCATATTTTTATCAGACATTAATGCCATAACATAACAATGGGGTTTAAGAAATTTAGGTAATTTTTGCAATTACGGAGCAACAAGTAAGAATAAAATTTGCTATTTTAGTAATGGTCATTGCGAATAACTTGCTTCTGTCCAATGAGGCGTCATTGGATTTATATCCAGTCCAAATATAGTCAATAAATTAATAAGTTTCAATTGACTTATCGTCCGACCGACTTTCGACTGACCCTGATAAGCATAATATAAGCGAAGTCGGTCGAAAGATAAGTCGAACTTTATTAATTTATTGATTCTTGTCGGTCTAGTTCTGTCTCTCTGCCCATTCCTTTCCAAATCACCCTCTCCTTTCGCTCTCCCCATTAGTCTCCAACTCTCTCTTTCTCTCTCTCTCTCTCTCTATATATATATATATATATATATATATATATGTATTGGTAGAGAGAGAGAGAGAGAGAGAGAGAGAGGAGAGAGAAAGATAGAGATACCGTGGATATAAGGATCAACATTGCTTGGCGACAGTCAATTTCTCGCCTCAAGCGATCTTCAGACGAAATGCCACTATCCCATTATAAGGATCTATATATATATGTCACTGGGGTACAAAGTGTGATGAGGGAAAGGTGCCGGTTCGAGTCATATTGTTTAGTTCTGAAACTGAGTGATACTCATGGCCACGGCTTTGACCTCACTGCCTCTCTCAATAAATATTACATCTCTGAGGACTCGTCAACTATAAATACAGCGAATTTTAAACAATATCTATCTATCTATCTATCTATGTCATTCTATTATCTAAGTCTTTTCTTATCTATCTATGTTCGTTCATATCTATCTATCTATCTATCTATCTATCTAAGTCTTTTCTTATCTATCTATGTTCGTTCATATCTATCTATCTATCTATCTATCTATCTATCTATCTTTTCTTATCTATTTGTTCGTTCATATCTCTATCATCTATCTATCTATCTATCTATCTATCCTTTATCTTCCTATCTAACCTTTATAACAGCTATTATTATAAATGATAAGTGTTGTGGATTCCGAGATGAAATCTGGTCTCCAATGAATGACAAACGCAGGAATGAAATATAACAAATAAATGTATTTACACAATAATACAATTGGTAATACAGTTAGTAAATCCAGAAACGCGGTTAGTAAAAATAATAATACTATATATATATATAGTCTAGTAAATCCAGTCTCGAAGTAGGACTTCCTTCGAGTCTGTGACTTCTACAAGCGGTTACCTCACACTATTACTCTACCTCCAACTCAATCACAATCTCTGCTCTCTCTACTCTGACTGACTCTGGGTATTTAACGGCAGCAGTCCAAGTACACACTGGTAGAGTCCACTTGTATGGAAAAGGGGTGGACCCCATAACAATAAGAAAACGTTAAAATATATCAATTTGGCTTTTCCTGGCGTGCTTAAAATTTTTTCATCTATAAAAATCATAGCAACGATGTTTGTTACGGCGGAGAACAGGTTCAAAACTAATTTTGGGGAAACCGTTTGATTAGCTTGCATTTTAAATGATTACAAAACGTGTCAATATTACAGAGATGAACATAATTTGTATTTGCCTCAGAGTATAAATTAAAAACTCTGCAAACATCTGATTTCTCAATGGAAGAGTTAAATTGTATTTTTAAAAATTGAAATAAAAATAAAAAAGCGAAATCTCTCATAATTAACCTCGACGATTTTCTGTGAATAACCATTCAATTCGTTCAATTTTAACAAATTTGCCACTTTAATCCGAATTCCGAATCTGTATAAAATATCTTCTTTTTTCTCTATTTCAGCTTTTAAACAAAACTAACCTTTGGCCATCAATTTACAGAAATCGATTGAATTTTCTACTTTATCTGACTCTTTGTTAAAAGCAAACAAAAAAAAAATGATTGTCTTCAATATAGTTTAATATCTTTTGGTCAATTTTATTTAGATTATATTTTGTTGACTTTGGCAAGCGTTTAATTCTTCATCCCCGAAGAGAGAACACAATGTGTGCCGAGGTATATATTCATACATATATAGACAGAGTTTTCTATCTATCTATCTATCTATCTATCTATCTATCTATCTATCTATCTATCTATCTATATATATATATATATATATATATATATATATAGAGAGAGAGAGAGAGATGGGAAAGAGGGATGGAAGAGTGGGCGTAGAAATTAACTCTGCATGGTGATTCTCAATTTCACACCTCAATGAATTTTAGACCAACTGCAAACTCTATAGAGACAATACGGAACAGTCTTCTCTCATAATAATATATATCTTATATATTTATTCTATAACTAATAACAGCAAACACAGGCTCACACACATATACACACATAATCAGTGTTTTTGTTTTTCTTAAATGGAAGAAAGAATACTAAACAGCTAACAAAGAAAATTAAAAGCAAACTAGTCTAGGAAAACAATATATCCGAAAAATCGGAAACTAAACAAATGAAATCAAATAACATGTGCATTATGTCGAAATTTTTTAGAAAAGCGAAAAATGATGATTTTGTCATACAATCGAAATCAATACAGAAGAGCTGTTTTCTGCTTTGAAAAAAAAATACATCGAGTCAAACTTCAACCCTGACCACATAAAATACCCATAGAAATAAAATAATATACCAATATACATGTAATCTTTTACATAGTTTATCTCCAAACGTATACAATAACGAGCCTATTGATGAGCAAGGATAGAAAGTTATAAAAAGTCAAAAGAATACTAAAGCATGACTTGTAATTTTGAAAATAGCGTAACCTCTACCCTAATTTAAAAACAAAAAACAAAAACAAAACCAATTTTGAAAATTTCATGAAACATGTCTGGAATCAGAAGCCTATCTTCCAAAAGAAGAGCTATATCGCACATTAATGCACTATTGAAACAAAAAAGTAGTCCTCAAGTCCCACACATAAAGATGTATCTGAACTGAATCCATTAGGATGAAAGTACTAATGAACATTAACTAATGAACGACCTGTCACCGTTCTATGAAAATATAATCCACACAATCAAATTTAACTTTGTTTCTGATATGTAGTGCAATGATGACATATTATGTTAGTCCTCAAGCCCTTCATATGCACATGTATATCAACTGGATTCATTATTGTGAGAGTACTAATAAACATTAACTAACGAACAGTGAGTCATCGTTCTATGAAAATCAACTCCACACGACTAAATTTAACTTTCTGTCTGGGATTACAGTGATGATATATAAAGTTAGTTCTGAATCCCCGCATATACAAATGTATACCAATTGATTATTCAAACTGAACACAAAATAGGATGAGCTAAATCCCAACACCGCAAGTTGCCAGATAACCAAAGCATTAGCTTCAAAAAACTAAAGTGATATTCTTAAATATACTCATCAAAAGGTTACTTTCATATGGATACCATGCGTGCCACCAAAACATTACAGAAATATCTGAACTATCAGCTGTAAATAACCGCTTTTTCGTATATGACTCAGCAAAGCTTTGCATAATCACAAAAAAAATTGTCCCAGATAAAAGAACCATATCATTTGAAGACTTTCAACAGCAGTAACAACTAAAATGGATAGCACATGTAACTCGAATGGACAATAATCAAGATCCTGACATTTCACGTTACTTCCAACAAGAGGTAAAAAATGAAATCCCCATCACTACAAGGAAAAGCGTTAATAGCTACTGGCCGTGAAATCCCTACTTGCCTGAAAAATGCTTTAATAGAAATTCAAACAGTGTTAGCAATGGCTGCACTGTCAATGAACCCCGATTGCTTTCTTATTCTTAAGCATCGTGTTCATATTACTATTACCAATATACAATTACGAAAAGCAACAATAATTAGAAATGTCATTAATATAAATCTTTTAAATGCTTATCCATACATATAACGCATATATATATATATTGCTTTGTGCGAGTGTGGAAACTGTTTTACGTCAGCACAACATCTCTATTATAATTGTCTGTTTGTCTCTTAAATTTCATCTGATTCTTCTATGTGCTTTGTCTCTTCGTTGGCGATCATATTTCTCCATAATTACTGTCTTTTATTGCTCTTAATACATTTTATCTTTTTGTTCTCTCTTCTAAAGCTTTTCCGCCATTCATTTAGTAGATTACTTGCCTTCAATCCTGTGCGTATCAAATTTTCGAAACCTTTCATTATTAAGTGCCCTAGAAATTTCAACTTTCTGTTCTTGATGTTAAAACGTTCTGCAGGGTGAACACATTTCAACTGTCTATTCCTGTTGCTAAGTATAATTTTCCTTCTTGTTACCATCTTCTCCATGACTTTGATGGTTCTTACCTGTTTACTGTATGCTATTCTCAGCATCTTTCTGTAGAACCACATTTCTGTTGCTTCACGTTTATTCTTCATCTGAGAGGGGGTTGTCCAGAATTTATTGCCATATAGGAGGACCGATATTATATAACAGTTAATGTTTCTTTTTGTTTCTAATAATTTTATCTGTTCCTCAATTTTTTGCTCAGCTTTAGGAAGACATGTTTCACTATCACTAATATAAGTATGCTTTCAGTGTCGCACTATCGGATTTCAGTATCGTACTTTCCGTTCTCTGTTAAAACACTTCCCAGATATTTAAATTGTGACACTTGTTTAAGTTTGATATCTCCCATTTGTAATTTGCATTTACAGAGTAGAAATGGCAGAGTATTTTTATACAAGGAATACATTTTCATACTTGAAAAAGTGACTTAAAAGAACTTTTAAATGGCAATGTGATTTGAAGAGAAATATCCCAAGCAAGACGTTAAAAAAATCTTTTCACGCCAGGCAAGACAATAAAGCCACTTAGACGAAAGGATTTATTGTGAGAATATGAGAAAGAAAACATTATTAAGGAGAGAGAACAATAAAAGTGCAGAAATTATGAAGAGAGAAGATAACGATTGACATTGCATTTACATTTTTAAAGATCAAAGTTGACTGGAAAGAAAGATGAAAGAGAGTTCTACAACCAAGAAACTGTCAGCATAGAACTTCCGATTACATAGAGCCATCTCAACTGTAAAATGTTTAGACTTTCTTCCTGCCATACACTTAAATTCATAAAGTACCAAACGAAAAATCCCACCAGAGCAATTACCATGAAAATATTTATAGAATAGACATAGAAATCTCCGTTACGGCGGTGGGAAAGTGACTGAAATCGAGATGTCAGGTCAAGGCCAATAACATTGCAAATTATTCTTTAGAATCAAGAATCTCTAAATATATAGCAGAAACACCAGACCAGATGTGGCAGCAATACTGAGTGCATGGACGAATTGTAAACTTAAAAATATATAAGATAGATTCGGACGAGAAAAATATATCGTATAACACAGTGAACCTATGTGTTCCAGCAGCAGCAGCAAACAGTATTCGATATAATGTTTTACCTTCATGTCAGCAGAAAATGTTTACATGATAGGAACGATATCATACAGATATGTTTAATCATATTAAACCGTGTTTCATTTCTTATAATTGTTTTCATTTATAATATGGTGAGAAGGTAGAGGCTATATTCTTTTTTATTTAATCATAATTTTAGTTGTAATCTTCAGGAAGAAATGAAAAAGAAAATGGCGAACAATAAAACAATAGTAAAAATATTTAAATAGACCTGTCATTTTATGACAGCGCTTATAAACGACAATTGAAATAATCTCTAAAATTGTGGATTATAGAAAAAAAAATCATTTTCTTTTGTTTTACATCTGGTCCTAATATTTCTGTGACATAAAGTTTTCTATGGGGAGATTGTTTGTAAATCGGTGATGACGTGAAATGTAGCGTACGGTTAATAGTTTAGAAAATGAACTCAAGAAAACAGTTTCGAATCTAAACTGAGACTTCGTTTAATTCCCTTGGAAAATGCATAAATAAATTTCTGCTTGTGTCATTATCAAGTATTTTCACGGAATTGTGTCTTCACTATTATGCCAGCACAGTTCCCGGAAAATAGAATGGGTGTGTAAGCAGATGGCAAAACACATTCCCATAATTACTGCCAGACAATAAGAATTGAAATACGTTGTTTGTTCTCCTTGACAGTAAACTACATTCTTGAACCATTTGAGTTAAGTTTTCGAAAATGGCGCTTTGCTTTTGATTTTAATAGAGGTAAAATATCATCTCATGGATTACGTAACCTTTTAATGCGTGCAGATGTTTAAATATGGTGATTTTCTAACCGTAGATTAGATGTGGCACAAGGCCGAAAGTAGGGGGCACCCAGGGAAGATACAAGTCACTACTCAGTCGTAATTGTGTTAGCAAGTCAAGCTTGCTAACCGTTACACCACGTTGAGGTGCCTAAATATGGTGATTTTCTAAGCATAGTTTAGATGTGGTACAAGGCCGAAAGTATCGGGTAACCAGTGAAGGTTGAACTCACTTGTAATGGTTATAGCGACGCAAGCTTGCTAACCATTTCACCACATCGAGGTGCCCAAATGTTTTTTTCTTTCTAAGCGCGGCTTAGATGTGGCGCAAGGCGGAAAGTATAGGGCACACAATGAGGATCGAACACACTACTCAGTCATAATTGTTCTAATGAGGCAAGCTTGCTACCCATGACAGCACGTTGAGGTGCCTAAGATGTTTAAATATGTTTAGATAATAAAGTTGCATTTCAAGAAGCCACTTGACGGCAATACATTATCATGTAACGTAATAAACAGTTTGATGTTTAAACAAAACAAGCTGTCTTCTTTTTCACTTTTTACGATCAGAAGTGTTCGTTTGCGAACTAGCAGATACATAATCACTGTGTGTCTGGGCGGTGTAATTGTGTGTGTATACGAGAGAGATAATGAATTACAGGACACATTAGAAATACCTCCCACATATGTCTCACACATAATGGTAAGACCATAGCTAAATAACGACACCTTTGCCACTAATGCTTTACCATTATGAGAGAGGTATTTCTGTGAGGTATATGTGGGAGATATTCCTCGCAGCTTTTATATGGGAGATAACTGAGACAGTGAAAGGAAAGGACACTTAAGTAGACATTGCTGTAGAAGTAAACAAGACGTTGCACCTCTGCTCATGATATGGAATCCAATTTATGGGAAAAGGTCAAGAGATAGATCAGCA